AGTGCAGACGCTAAAGGACCCACCGCTTCAGAAGCTAAACACCTTTGTGCTCAACAAGTTCTCCCAGAGCTGCGACGTCTTCCTCTTCCGTCTGACGAGAAGAAGAAGAAGAAACGCACTGGCGTCTGCTGGAGAGAACTTCCCACCTTCAAAGACGATGATAACCCCATATCTTGTCTTGATATAATCGTGGTGAACATGAAAGGGATTCCTCCAAAGTACACAATTGTGGATGTGGACAAACAGTCGAATCCTTGGATCTTCTACGTCCAGGTCACGGTGGCGGACGTGACTGCGGTGGGACTCGGCTTGGACAAGAAGGACGCTAAAAGGAATGCGGCCTCAAAAGTTCTCAACACGTTTGGGTACAACTTTGTAGTCAAGGAGCCAGAGCCGAGACCCAAAGAAGATATCACATCTCAGAAGATAGAGACTGATGTTCTTAAGGAGGTCCCCAAGGATGACAAGCCACAACAGGACCAGGAATGTTCTGTAGCTCAAGGCGACTCCATCCAGACAGAGGAGACCCAGTCCCCAACAGAGGACACATCTATGGGCACATCTGCTGCTGCCCAAGATGAAGCAGCAGAGGTTTTCCTGGATGACACTGAGGAGGAGGTTCAGACACCTCCTGAGGAGCTTGTGTTTGTAGAGTCCCCTGAAGACACTGCTACTGTTGGTGTTGATCAGGCAGAACTTCTGAGGGACCAGGAACAGTCACCAGTACTCACACAGACTGTAAGTGAGGAGGTAACGGTTTGTGATGTTCCCTGTGATGCCAGCACAACTCCAGAGACGGAGACTGATGTCCATGAGGAGGTTGACGAGTCACAACAGGACCAGGAATGTGCTGTTGCTGAAGACGACTTCTTTCAGACGGAGGAAATCCAGTCCCCAACAGACGACACATCTGTTTTGTCTTCTCCTGCTGCTCAGGACGAAGCAGCAAAGGTTTTCTTAGATGACATCGAGGAGGAGGTTCAGACACCTCCTGAGGAGTTTGTGTTTGTAGAGTCCCCTGAAGACACTGCTACTGATGTTGTTGATCAGGCAGAACTTCTGAGGGACCAGGAACAGTCACCAGTACTCACACAGACTGTAAGTGAGGAGGTAACCATTTGTGATGTTCCCCAAGATGCAACGCCAAAAATGGATGGCTCGAAACCAGCAAACACAACTCAAGAGACAAAGACTGATGTCCACGAGGAGGTTGAGGAGTCACAACAGGACCAAGAACATTCTGTTGCTGAAGACGACTTCTTTCAGACGGAGGAGATCCAGACCCCAACAGACGACACGTCTGATTTGTCTTCTGCTGCTGCTCAAGACCAAGCAGCAGAGGTTTTCTTAGATGATATTGAGGAGGAGGTTCAGACACCTCCCGAGGAGATTTTATATCTAGAAACTTGCGAAGACACTCCTGCTGATGGTGAACAAGCAACACTTCTGAGTGACCAGGAACAGTCACCATCAACGGACACGTCGACTGAACCAAGTAGGATTTCTCCAACTGCCCTCAAAGGCTCCTTCTTCATCACCAACGCACTCACACAAAAACTGTTCAAACTGGCTGGATCCAAAGACCACCGTAACGCCAGTCTAATGGGTGCCCGCCTGCATTACAGCATCAAGCAGCAGCTGGAGTTGGATGAAAACTCTCAGATAAAGCTGAAGAACTTAGAGAAAGTTGGTAAAGCCGCCGCCAAACGTCTCTCTGCAGAATATGGATCGGCAGACGCAGTCCTGAGGGCGGCTCGAGAGGACAACACAGCTGCATTTGAAGCGGCTGCAGTGAAACATATAAACGCTGAACTGAGATCCTTCCAGAAGCGTCCCAAGTCTGCGCTGTCACGGCTCTTCTCCAGGATGAGAAAGGCCTTCACCTTCTAAGGAGGCCCACCCCAGAGGACCAGCACTTTTTGAGGAGACACAAGTTGCTTTCTTGAAGATGTGTTCCCAGTGTTTTAACAGAACTTTGAATTATTTTTGAGGAGGCATACGTTGCTTTCTTGAAGATGTTCCAAGTCTTTTAACAACACTTCGAACCATTTTTGAGGAGGTACTTGTGGCTTTCTTGAAGATGTTATCCCAGTGTCGGTCCTCTAACAGTTTTGGGACATAGTTCCTAAATTCTAGGCTGATATAATTGAATAAAGTATATGCATAGCAATAATTTGTCATTTGTTGATTTGTTGGTGTTCAACAAATCAACAAATTTGTTGATTTGTTGAAACAGAGTGAGGAAGTGGTTGCTGTTGTTAGTATGAACTATGATCCCATTGTATCTCGAGTGGCAGAGGTCTTAGGATCTGGAAAGACGATTAAGAAACGTGATGTGGAGACTGGAGATATTTCTTGGTTGATTGATAAAGGATCTCAGTGACTTCTCTAATCAGCTGAAAGAAGATGATGGTTCTGGGGGCGGCGCGATGGCTGAGTGGATAGCACTGTCGCTTCTCAGCAAGAAGAATCAAAGATTTTTTATTGCCACATAAGTAACACAAGTCACCACTTGGAAACTGCTTTGGCAGAGCATGCCACGGCGCCATCTTGTGTGCGACAAGCAGGAAACAGCAGAGAGCAGCAACATACACGTTTCACAAGACAGTTGGATGAGACACAGTATGTTTTGGATAAAACACAGACTTCTTTCTTGGGATAAAAACCTCCGATTGCCCTGCCCAATGTGCACTGTCAGAAGGGGCTGGGTCAGGGGGGTGAGTCAGGAAAGACATGGAGGGAGTGAGGGGGAGGGAGAGGGGAGAAGGGAGGGGGAGAGGAGCGGGGTGGGGTGGGGGGTGTCCGGTGCTGGATAGCTGTAAAGTGTGAGACTTGAAGAAGTGTCCCGTTAGCGACCTCAGCCTTGGCCAATGGAATGTGGAAAGATTAGGAGAGGAGTCGCAGACGCAGGAAAACACATATTGCCGAAAGGGACAATTTATACTGTATAAGCAATGTAGCAGATCAAAACCGGCAAATATGTTTTAGATCCAATTGAACCGAATTTCTGGTGCCCTCCGTACACAGGGCCTTTCCATGTGGGGTCAGAGAGTTCAGCTCTGGCACACAATCTCATTCAGCTTCATCAAAAGTGTCTTATATCCATCCAAAGATTGCATCGCAAGATCTTTAAGCAAATGTTCGACCTGTAACACTCTCCGTTGTGCTCCCACAGCGCTCTCAACCAACACCCGGGTCAACTCCTTGTACCTCTCTTCAATTTCATTGGACAGCTTCTCGTAAATTTTATGAGCTGCCATACCTCCAACTACCAGAAAGATATAGAAGTCTTCAGAATCTTCGATAGACAGAGGCGACAGACATAACGGGTTCCACTTGCCCCAGCTGTCGTAGGTGTAACCCGCAGGTGCCGTCCGGTCGGGGCAGGGGGTCCCGGTCCTCCCTTACGTGTTGAAAAAATAGTATCAATTGCGTTAAGGGACCAGTTAATGATATCCACAATTCTTGTTAGAGTTGTCCGCGGCAAGACTCCCAGAAAAAAGACAAAACAAGGTCCTGGGTTCAAATCCCGGGCGGAACAGAGCCTTTCTGAGTGGAGTTTACATGTTCTCCCCGTGTCTGCGTAGGTTTCCTCCAGGTACTCCGGTTTCCCCTACCACTAAAAACATGTACAATAGGTCTGTGCCTCCTGTACTGGCCCCGCTCCCGTCTCTGTGTGGAGTGAGAGACAAATGCCCACAATTGTAAACCGCTTTGTGACTCCGGTCTGTGAAAGGTGATACATAAATAAACATTACTTACTTAAAAACTACTTAAAAACACAGGAAATTCTCAGAATTACATTATTATGAATGAGAGCAGTCAAAATGACGGCTTTGGGAATTCTAGCAGTTCCATAATTGTGGGAATCCTAGTGTCAAACAAAGTGGATTTAAAGCTGGCGTAAAGTTTTGTGTCTTTTTCTCTTTTTTGCTTAGCTGACAAAAAAAAAGTTCATCTCCCTCTTGTGGCAGCATTGGGAGTTACAGACGGAAAGCATTTTTAACCCTTCACACTTGTGTCACCTTATATTTTTACTAAAGATATCATTTCACATTATAAAGCATGAAATGACAAACTAAATAAACTAATTTTACTCTATAATGCCAAAACTAATGCATAGTATGTATTCTTTAAACCAATCCACAGACATTTGGCATTCCAGCTTTTCTCTGCTTTCTGTCTGACATGTGACGTGGGAGATCTTCAAAACTGTCCAATAAGTTAAGATAAAACTTTATCAATGGAGAAATGTACGAGTTGACGGCTGCTGTGTCCAGGTGCACATCCAGAACGCCGCTCTGGCCGGAGGCGTGGCTGCGGGGACGGCAGGAGAGATGATGCTGACTCCGGTGGGATCCATGATTGTGGGCTTCCTGGCGGGAATCATCTCTGTGCTGGGATTCAAGTATCTGTCTGTGAGTGAGAAGGAAGAAGCTGGAACACACACACACGGCGACGTTTATAATAATGTAGATTCAAGATTCAATCCAATTTAGTTTCACATAGCCCTAAATCACAACATTAGTTTTCCCCTTACTTACTTACTTACTTACTGTGGACCCAGGACTGAGACTGTAGATCCAGGACTGAGGCTGTAGATCCAGGACTGAGGCTGTAGATCCAGGACTGAGGCTGTAGACCCTCTGGTCTCAACCCTCTGGTTCTCCTCATGCAGCCGATTCTGGAGGAGAAGCTGAAGATCCAGGACACCTGTGGGGTCCATAACCTGCACGGAATGCCTGGGGTCCTGGGAGCGATTGTAGGAGCGGTCACTGCTGCTGCTGCAACCAAGGACATCTACGGAGACGGGTAAGAGTCCTGGTCCTGGTCCTGGCCCTGGTCCTGGCCCTGGTCCTGGTCCTAGTCCTGGTCCTGCTCACAGAGAGAGCGTCTGTGCAACAAAGGGAAGACAGGATCTCTCCCTCAGGGGCCAGATCCGGGCATTTGAACCGTGGACTTGTTTGTGTGATTGTGCTAAAGTCAGTGAGAATGTCGTTCAGGTTTTGTCCGATGTTAGTGTTGTAAATGTCAAAAGTTAACATATAAAGTCAGTTTGTGTGTATCAGAAAAATATATATACACAATACATACCACACATTACATATACCGTACATATTTATACATTTTTAAAGAGATAGTGATGGATTAGAAGGACAACCCTTATTATTATATCGATCTACATATTGTGCAGAAAAATACTAATAAGAATACATTTTGGAAGTAAAAAGATAAAACCATGACATGAACAAGTGTTGAGGATTGAGTGATGATTTTCTTGATTAATTATTGTAAAAGATACACTCGTGTTTAAAGGCCAAACTGCACATAACGAGAGAAGAGAGAGCAGATACACTGGTCTGAGGTAAAAACCTAACTATTTCTGTTGTCTGTGTGTGCGTGTGTGTGTGTTTTTTTGTTTGTTTGTGTGTGTGTGTCTGTGTGTGTGTGTGTGTGTGTGTGTGTGTGTGTGTGTGTGTGTGTGTGTGTGTGTGTTTGTTTGTGTGTGTCTGTCTGTTTGTGTGTGTGTGTGTGTGTGTCTGTGTTTATGTATGTGTGTGTGTGCGTGAGTCTGTCTGTCTGTGTGTGTGTCTGTCTGTTTGTATGTGTATGTGTGTGCGTGTGTCTGTCTGTCTCTGTCTGTGTGTGTGTCTGTCTGTGTGTATGTGTCTGTGTGTCTGTGTGTGTGTCTGTCTGTGTGTGTGTGTATGTGTGTGTCTGTCTGTCTCTGTCTGTGTGTCTGTCTGTGTCTGTGTGTCTGTCTGTGTGTCTGTCTGTGTATATGTGTCTCTGTGTGTGTGTATGTGTCTGTCTGTCTCTGTCTGTGTGTCTGTCTGTCGGTGTGCGTGTGTGTTGTGTGTGTTGTGTGTGTTGCAGGATGGAGGATGTGTTCCCTCAGATCGCCAGTGGAGACTTCACAGCCTCAGATCAGGCCGTGCGTCAGGCCATTTCTCTGGCCGTGACTCTGGGCATCGCTCTGTTAGGAGGACTCATCACCGGTGACTCTATTATTAGTATTATTAGTATTAGTATTATTATTATTATTATTAGTGTTATTATTAGTGTTATTATTATTATTATTACCATTATACAGTTGTGCTCGAAAGTGTACACACCCACTCAGTGATGTCCTTGTTCTTGACATAAATTAGACTGTAGTGTAATGTCAAATTAACACGTTTCCTGAGTCTTACTTCAGGCTGTAAAAAGTGATAAAAAATAAGTCTAAAATTGCACAAATGTTGCCAAACGAGTCTTAATCTGAGCACATTCTGAGCCTTAAAACAACATTTTCCAATGGGGCAAAAGACACAAGAAATGTCTCCCTCGGAATGAGACTAAATGGCTTTGTTCCATTATCGACAGTCTAGATCTACAGATGTATAGATATTTTCTTGCTGATCTTATGAAGCTTTTATAATGTCTTAACCCAACATCGAATCCTTTCAAATGATCTTTTCCGAAAGAACGATAAATATTTCCAACGTTTGCAGAATAAAGAAGAAAGAATAAAACGTGTAATATTCCAGAGCAAGAAGTGAATCGGTGCAAACTCGCTGAAGTTCAAGAGGACTGTGAGATCTGGGGGATGGAGACTTCTGATCAGGGTTTCAGTTCATTTTAATTCAAAAGAGACAATATTTGAGAAAAACACCGACAGTGACTGAGGAAAGATGTTAGCATTGTCTGTTATCGTCCGAGATATCACTTTCCTGTCTGCGTGTGTAAACTTGAAGAACTATGCTGTGATTTTTCCAATTTCTTCCTATTCTAACATGGTCTGTGTGTTTCTTAGGATTCATTTTGAAGATTCCGGTCTTCGGAGCTCCGGCCGACAACATCTGCTACGAGGACAGTATCTACTGGGAGGTGAGAGTGTGACATCACCTCTGGCTCCTTCATCTGAAAAAGGGGAATGACAAATCCCAGAAGAGTTTTATTGAATATTTATAGAGTTATATTCTTCATAACACATTCGTAAAGCACTTTGGGTGACCTTGTGAAATGCGCCTTATAAATAAAACTGACTTACATAAATTTACCTGCAGTGTCCAACATTAACGTCATGCAGTGGCTTTGACCTCATGTGTCCAGCAGAGGGCGCTCACACACTACTTCTATCTCTGTATGGATCTGTGAGATGTGCACGAGTATAACATCTCTAGCTTTAGCAAAATAACGTTAACATGAAACAAAATAAAGAAACCAGTTTAAAAATATGGCTCTCATCATGAAGCAGCTTTGTATCCCTGTATATGTCAGCTATGTCCTGTATGTGCGATACAACACCGGAATTTCTCCACTGGGGACGAATGTAGGTTCTCTTATGTGTATAGATAGATTCTTTATTGATCCAAACCTGCAGGTGAAAACCAGATCCCGTCAGACCTTTGAAGCTAAGCAGGGTAGGGCCTGGTTATTGCTGTGATGGGAGACCTCCGGGAACACCAAGTGCCACTGTGGGGCGGCTGTAGCTGTAAAGTGCCAAACTGTCCCACTCTGAGACAAGACACCACCCACATTAGAATGAGTCTGGTGTGTGTGTGAATGGTTGGAGGTGGTGGGAGGGGCTGATGGCACAGACTGGTTGCCTCACTTCTGTCAGTGTGCCCCAGGGCAGCTGTGGCTACAGTAGTGAGCGACAGAATAACGACATGTGAATTGTCGTTGAGAGTCCAGTGCTGTATAAAGACCAGCCCTTAATTATGATTATTGATGCAGAAACTCATTCATCCAGACGAATATATTGAAACAAAATATGATCAGACGATTTAGTCCGATTGTGGCTCATTTTACGGTGACTTTTTACGGATGTGTTTTTTCACAGGTGCCTGGAGAGGAGGAGCACCACGACAACCAGCTGACCGCCGTGAGGACGGAGGAGACGGAGAAACTCAGTGCATAGAAGACGACAGAAGAGGAAATCAGAGAGAGAGAGAAAGGCATAGGAGAGAGTGAGGAGAGAAAACATATAGAGAAAGAGAAGGGGGAGAGAGAGAGAGAGAGAGAGAGGGAGAGAGAGAGAGAGAGGTCTGAACATTCCATCTGTGAACACAGACAGACGCCCAGAGACTAGAATAACAGAATAAGTATAAATTTATATAAATGACAGATTATTTCTATAATTTTAAGTTTGTGGAGCCTGTGTTAGCGAAGACCTGAATCCAACAGTCGCTCGTGTTTCGCTCGAGTCCGAATCGGAATAATATTAGTAATAATTTTAGTAATAATGATAATAATAATAATAATGATATATGAGGAGGATATGTATAACTTTTATTACTAATAATATATTTGCTCTGATATATTTTTAAGTAATCCATTTTTCTCAGCTTGGAATGAAAGCAGAACAATCAAAGAGCAAAACTTATGTAGATATTTCTGTTAAATCAATTTGAAATAAAATAAAATAAATAATAATAATAAGAAGAAGAAGAAATAGACAGAGATGGCGCTAAATGTTGAGAACAAAGAGGAAATCATTTATAACTATTGGAACGTGTCGACCTCAAAACAAGAAGCTCCTGGGTTCAATTCCACCTCCAGGCCTTACTCTGTGAAGTTTGCATGTTCTACCCGTGTGTGCGCAGGTTTCCTCCAGGCGCTCCGGTTTCCTTTACCACTAAAGCCATATACGAAAGGTCTGAGTGTGATGAGAGATGCATCTGTCATCACCGTGGAAATGACAGATGCACCGTTTATATGAATATACATTACTCACTGTCTTACTATAGGAATAACGCATTTTTATCTGAGCCTCGGCCTTTTTCCTATTTGTTCTCTAAAATCCAATATTTTTTATCCATGTTTTGATCCCAAACCCAGTCCTTTCTCTTGTATTATTACATTTTATATTGTTTGTATGTTTATCCGACAAACTAAAATCCCAAAAATGATTTAACACACAATTTTCTTTCCTTGTTATTGTAAAGTGTAAAAGTTTGACCATGAATCGTGTTGCTTATTGCCTGAATTGTAACAGTGAAGTGGTTACAACACATTCTCTGCATTTTAAGATCTTTTTAAGGGCTATTTTTGTTCATGTTTCATTCTCCTGTTTGTCATGGATTCTGGACAGTTCCCTCCGCCGCCTCCAGAGGGTGCTGTCCGCTGTTACGTCTGTGGACACAGCGCAGACACCGGTGCTTCCGGCTGTTACAACCAAAGATCTCAGTCAAATTTTAGCTTTTTCTATGAATGACGTGTGTTTTTGTTTTTGTAAAAAATAAAATTGGATTCTCTACACGTTTGAAGAAGAGTCGTTTGAAACTATTGTGGTTGTTTTTCTTTTTTTTGTAAAATATAAATGTAAAAAAAAAAAATTCCAAAGATATTCAAATCTTGACTCGTTTTTCCTCAACTTTAAATATAATTTGGAATTTTGGACTTTGACTGCCATTGACGTGTTAACACGTCAAACTAAATAGTAACGTTGTCTGCCAATGACGTGTTAACACGTCAATTGCGTTTCCCGCTATTTTTACGTTCCCAGCTGTCCATTGAATCTAATATGTGGAGATTGGCTTGAGGCAATACTTTATGGAGCCAGCAGATGGCAGCATTGCGCTATGAATGGTTTGAACACAGCTAGATGCACTGTTTGTGGCCCTTTTTTCTCAGCTTTCTGGTGATTTCAATAAAACTTCCCTCTACTCAACTGGGGATTACAGAAGAACTAAACAAGATAGAAACAAAATTCTTTTTGCTGGTGAGAGTAGACAGCCCATTCTTTCAGAATCTAGTTTTAGATTTCAGATAGTCAAAGTACACAATATTCTGTGGGTCTTGAAAAATCAGTAAAAACCACCAGAAACGGCTGGCAATATGGGAGTACCTGTTTTGAAATGGGCTGGCAGTCAATGAGTAAAAACGAAGGGTCGCATCAGAGACAGGAGCAGGCTTAGTCCAATTGTATGGCACAGTTCAAACTTTAACCTTAACTATCTAAATAAAAGTTAAAATATAGTTTTTCTACTGCATTCACTGATGTATGCTGGGTAATACCTGCTGCTCAGGCAACAGATAGTATGGTTATATATTGTGTAAATCAGAAGTATTTTTCTTCCAGAATCCAGAGATTACAGTTACTTTTGACAGAGCGGCACAGATCCAGTGAGTTCAGGCTTTAGTCGCTGAACCAGAGACAGTAATCTACTTTATCTACTTTAACTACTTTATCAACTTTAACTATAAAAAGAGTCCTTCAGACGTTATTGCAGCATCACGACCACAGACAGAGAGTAAGAGAGACACACACACAGAGACACACACTGAGATAGACACACTGTAGATCCAGGACTGAGGCTGTAGACCCAGGACTGAGGCTGTAGATCCAGGACTGAGGCTGTAGACCCAGGACTGAGGCTGTAGATCCAGGACTGAGGCTGTAGATCCAGGACTGAGGCTGTAGACCCAGGACTGAGACTGTAGACCCAGGACTGAGGCTGTAGATCCAGGACTGAGGCTGTAGACCCATACTGAGGCTGTAGATCCAGGACTGAGGCTGTAGACCCAGGACTGAGGCTGTAGATCCAGGACTGAGGCTGTAGACCCAGGACGGAGGCTGTAGATCCAGGACTGAGGCTGTAGACCCAGGACTGAGGCTGTAGACCCAGGACTGAGGCTGTGGACCCAGGACTGAGGTTGTAGATCCAGGACTGAGGCTGTAGACCCAGGACTGAGGCTGTAGACCCAGGACTGAGGCTGTAGATCCAGGACTGAGGCTGTAGACCCAGGACTGAGGCTGTAGACCCAGGACTGAGGCTGTGGACCCAGGACTGAGGTTGTAGACCCAGGACTGAGGTTGTAGATCCAGGACTGAGGCTGTAGACCCAGGACTGAGGCTGTAGATCCAGGACTGAGGCTGTAGACCCAGGACTGAGGCTGTAGACCCAGGACTGAGACCACTGATGCAACAATTCCCCATGTCGGACCAATACATAATCTCTTCATCTTGATCTCAATATTCATTCTTGCACAATAATAATAATTAATATCCAGTTTTTATTGACTATAGTTTTAATACAAACTTAAACACTGACATTCCCCCACTCGGCACAAATAATATAAAATGAATGGATGAACCAAAAACGTGCATAAACTTCCAATAAATCATGTTTTCTGACGTCTGTTTAGAACCCGCTCATTCCCGTTAAAACAATGACATTATTCTAAAATCTAATCTATGATCACGTGTCCTGTTTCCCCGCGCTCGTGCTCGTGCCCGTGCGTGCGGCCCGTGTGAACAGAGCAGTTCTTGGAGCGCAGCCTGAAGTGAGGACCCACCCCCCCCCCCCCCCCCCCCCCCCCCCTACACCCCCCTCCTCCCCCCCCCTCCCTCTACACAATATTTAATTTATGCGCATTTTAATTATTCCCTATTGTCGCGTCCACCGTGGGATACGACGTGCAGCGGCGTGCGCGAGGGGATGCGCGTGCACGAGGAGAGGAGAGCGCGCGCTGTTCTCTTCCTGCAGGCCAAGGGGAAGAGTCTGTGTGTGTGTCTCTCTCTCTCTCTCTCTTTCTGTGTGTGTGTTTTATCACTTCTTTACCCGTTGCCTTGGTATACAACAATATTATGACAAAGAGTGATTCTACTGAGAGTAAATAAACTGTTCCAGCGATAATAAAGTCAGGTTCAAAGGTGGTTCTTTGTGTTTTTATCTAAATATTTTTGTAAATCTGTTTTTTTTTGGACCAGAGTGAGAAGAGGAGGAAACACATGGGCTCAAGCACAGAGTATAATAATAATAACAATAATAATAATAATAATAATAATAAACTAAAGTATTGAATCTTTTTAACGCGCTGTAATTATTTAAGATTTTTGTGTTTTTAAAGTTTCTCGTTTCTTGTTTTCTTCAGCCCTTGGAGTTGCCTTCTGTATGACCAGTGCTACACAATTAAAATTCCCTAAAAACAAGATTTAAAAGTGCATTTGCAAAGACACACGTTACACAAAAATTATTTTTAAAAATGGAGGAAATCCAAAACCACATTAGCTTCAAAAGGAGAGAGTTATGATGAAGAAGACACTGACTCATACAGGTTCATAATTAGCTAGATAATAATACAAATACAATAATAATAATGGAACAAATGTAATGAACAATAAATAATTCAAACACATATTATTTAAAATAGATTAAAAACATTGCAGTCCTGCCGTAAATGGGACAAATGTGGAAGCTCTGATCTCTGGTCCTCAGGGAATAACGTGGGTTTACACTGACTGAATTAATCAGAAATAAAACTTATGTAATGTTGTCGTTTGAGGCTAAAGAACCACGCACTCCTTGAGAAAAAAATTTGAAAAAAGTGCAAAGTTTATTGGTATAAAGTCCACGTGAGGTTTGGGGAAAGGCCTGTGCGTGACGTGCGTGCACTCTAAAAAAAAATGCATTGGCAAAACTTAATAAAATTGAGGCAGCATTTTGCATGCATCTTTTTAAGTTTTGCGAACAAGACTGTGTTTTAAGTATTCTTTGTAAGTCTTTTAT